GGACCCCAATGGAAATAAAAGACCTCTGCTGCAAATAAAGGACCACAATGGATATACAGAACACACTGAAAATAAAGGATCATATGAAAATAAGCTACACATATTTGTTTTACCTACTATGTGCTGCTTGAGTGGCTAGTTTATTGTACATCCAAAGCTAATCCTATGAGCAGTAACACCGAAGAATAGTCATGGTGGGTCATCAGACCCCACTGGACACAGTTACATCTTCAAAGATATTACAGTCATCTCATATACTGTATTACAATTTCTTTGCATAGCTAATTTACATATTCCAATATGTAGATACTGTACAATGTAAAGAAAAGTAAAGTACTTTATTATTACTGCAAATATTGACTGTTTTCTAGGTCACAATCCTATCAAATTGTGTATATATAGTGGACCCCCTCATACCATTGGCATCACATAACGTTAAATCCGCATAGCGATACATTTTATCACTAAAATTTTGCCTCGTATAGCGCTAAAAAACTCGCTCAACGCTATTCGTCCGAGACGCGTCTATGTGAGGCCTAAGCCAGCCTCACATGTTCCGCCGGTGGCATTGTTTACAAGCCAGCCTCCGCGGTAACATCCAAGCATACAATCGGAACATTTTGTATTATTACAGCGTTTTTGGTGATTTTTATCTGCAAAATAAGTGACCATGGGCCCCAAGAAAGCTTCTAGTGCCAACCCTGTGGTAAAAAGGGTGAGAAATATTATCGAAATACTGTGGTACCATGGTCAACTGCTGATGCTGCTGCTGCTGTAGCACCATCAGCTGCTGCTGCTGCTGTAGCACCATCAGCTGCTGCTGCTGCTGTAGCCCCCATCAGCTGCTGCTGCTGCTAGACCATACGTGTGTTGTAGTACCATCTGCTGCTGCTGTAGCACCGTCTGCTGCTGCTGTAGCACTGTCAGCTGCTGCATGCCCGCACTGCTGCTGCTGCTGCTGTAGCACCATCAGCTGCTGCTGCTGCTGCACTGCCAGCTGCTGCTGCTGTACACCGTCAGCTGCTGCTGCTGCTGTACCACCGTCAGCTCCCGCTGCTGCTGACCACCGTCAGCTGCTGCTGCTAGGCTACCGTCCTGCTGCTGCTGTGCTGTACCACGTCGTCTGCTGCTGCTGTAGACGCTGTGCTGCGTAGACCGTCTGCTGCTGCTGTAGCACTGTCAGCTGCTGCTGTAGCACTGTCAGCTGCTGCTGCTGCTGCTGCTGCTGTAGCACCGTTGTTGGTGTGGCTTATTGAGAATACCAAGAAACAATTAGCCCCAGAGGGTTAGCCACCCAGGATAACCCAAAAAAGTCAGTGTCATCGAAGACTGTCTAACTTATTTCCATTGGGGTCCTTAATCTTGTCTCCCAGGATGCAACCCACACCAGTTGACTAACACCCAGGTGAACAGGGAAAAATGCCTGGAACTAGTGCTCATATTGGTGAATTTAAAGCCAGCAAAGGTTGGTTTGAGAGATTTAAGAATCGAAGTGGCATACACAGTGTGATAAGGCCTGTTCTGGAAGAAAATACCAAACAGGACCTACAGTACTCAGGAGGAAAAGGCACTCCCAGGACACAGTGTCTCATCAGTCATTGCTGCATCTTCAATAAAGGTAAGTGTCATTTATTCTTCATTTAGTAGAGTAGTACATCCACAATATATATTGTGCATGTACTACTCTACTATTGTGCATGTACTACTATACTATTGTGCATGTATCCTTCTCCTTGTGTGTAGGAAAATGTATATTTCATGTGGTAAAATTTTTTTTTCATACTTTTGGGTGTCTTGCACGGATTAATTTGATTTCTATTATTTCTTATGGGGAAAATTCATTCGCATAACGATAATTTCGCATAACAATGAGCTCTCAGGAACAGATTAATATCATTATGCGGGGGTCCACTGTAATCTTAAAGTTTCGGTTATATTATCATTAGCAAATAATCTGCCATTTCTTGTAGTATCTGTCTGGATGTGTCTCTAGTGTGGTCCTATCTCTTTCAATACAATTTACATTTCATGTGACTGACATCACCATACAAATGGTACTGCCCAAGATACTTATAGCCTAGCCTTAATCTAGCAGTGACATCATCTTGTAATCTACTAACCTTACTTTCTCCATAGACATATTTTACTTGATATATTTCATTATGGACAATGAATCTGTTAGTTCCTATTGGTTCTGTGTTACTTGCTTCCAATCTGCTGGTTCTTTTCTAACATTTTTAAGCCTTTAGTTATGAAACAAAAATTATATTCATCATTATTTAATGCTGGCTTCCAGTGGCCTATGAGAGGGAATTCACAATACAGTGGAACCTCTACTTGCGAGCGCATCCACGTGCGAGTTTTTCCAAATACGAGCAGTCGATGCGTCGATTTTTTGTTTCCATACGCGAGCAAAATTTCCATAAGCGAGCAGATCTCAAGGCAGGTTCTTTGACGCTGGTGAGAGGCTCTTGCTCTTGATCTAGGGAATTGTATCTCATTTGTTTGTTCGACTATCTTATTGAAACTTGAGCAATGTATGATGGAAAGATGCTTCTTAACGTACACAAAAAATGAAAGAAATCTAAGCATAAATAATGGAGTTCACTTCTCAGCAATTAGCCACCCCTTAGCGGTATTTTCGTATGGTTTTTATGCTTGTATTCTCGTTTTTTTGGTCTCATTTGACAGAATGGAAGATATATTACAGAAATAGATATGATTTTGATTGCTTTCAGGACAAAAAGTACCTTGAAATTGAGCTCAACACAGGAGAAACTTTCGATTGTTTTGGGTATGTTAAAGAGTAAACAAATGGCATCACTGTCCATTCCATTATGCAGCCGTGAATGGGTTGACATTATTTATACAATTATTGCAATAAGGCATAACAGTAAATCTTATATTTTTTGTGTGAATAAAAATTACAAATTATTTATTTTGTAATAATAATAATAATAATAATAATAATAATATGTATATGTATAATAATAATAGTACGTATTATAATACAATAAGAATAATAATATAATACGTATTATAATAATAATACATATATAAAAATAATGTACTACATAATAATAATTATAATAATAGACGGCTTCAAAAGGCCATCACTAGATGGCAGTGTTTACCACAACATAGCGGGAGCGGTTGTGGCCACCTCCACCTGTTGCATAATGGCATATTTTATTCATTCTAGAGTATATATCAGGTTTCTGTGTTATTTATATTGTTTATTATTTCATATTAGATGAACTGTGATAGATAAATAAGCCGTAGAGTTGATGATAGCAAAATATTCAAGGGGTATTTTGTCCTGTCTCCAGACAAACTCTCGTGTGCCGCCACCGCCACATATATAATGACATACATGTATTTCATTCATTCTAGAGTATATATCAGGTTTCTATGTTATTTACATTGTTTGTTATGTCATATTAGATGAACTGTGATAGATAAATAAGCCGTAGAGTTGATGATAGCGAAATGTTTTGTTCTGTCTCTAAAGAAACATTTTGTTCTATCTCCAGACAAACACTCATTGGCCGCCGTCACCGCTGCCACATATATAATGACATATTTTATTCATTCTAGAGTATATATCAGGTTTCTGTGTTATTTATATTGTTTATTATGTCATATTAGATGAACTATGATAGATAAATAAGCTGTATAGATGATATTAGCGAAATTATTCAAGAAGTATTTTGTCCTGTCTCCAGACAAACTGTCGTCCACCGCCGACACCGCCCATACCACTAAATAATTACATATTTTATTCATTTTAGAGTAAATATATCAGGTTGCTATGTTATTTATATTGTTTATTATGTCATATTAGATGAAGTGAGATAGATAAATAAGCCTTAGAGTTGACATTAGCGAAATTATTGAAGCACAGAATTCCACTGGAACGAATTAATTGCATTTCAATTAATTTAAATGAGGAAAATTGACTCTGCAAACGAGCAAATCCAGTTGCGAGCAAGGTCATGGAACAGATTAAACTCGCAAGTAGAGGTTCCACTGTATTTAACATTAATACCCTGTATCTTTTTTAAAAATTTGTGCATGTTTATGTTTGGCTCCATACACATACATGTTACATTCAGATCTCAGTATCTTTATAGCAAGTATTAAGGATAGGGAGGATATCTGGTGAAGTCACCAAATTTCCAAATCACTGATGCCAGCAAGTTATTCAGGCGGAAAAATATCACTGTGTGTTATCCAACAGCTAATTTCGGTTAGGTCAGGATAAGTTTGCATATACCAGGTAAGTTCTTGCCAATAATTTTACTAAATTTATATATATAATACAATATAATTTTTATTTCTCTGCAAAGGTTACAATGTGTGATTTACATTTTATAAAATGTTGTTAAGTACAAAGAAAGCCACTAACATGCCTTAGCATTTTGGGCAGACTAATCCTAATGTTACAGGTCTACTACTTAATTAAAACTAGACATAGTTATAGAATGGTAAATTTTAATTATTCATTATTTTACCTTATTACTAAATTTTAATTATTCATTATTTTACCTTATTATTAAATTTTAATTATTCATTATTTTACCTTATTATTAAATTGTAATTATTCATTATTTTACCTTATTATTAAATTTTAATTATTCATTATTTTACCTTATCACTCTAAAGTAAGGCAGTCAAAAATTTTATAATTAACAAGATTTATAGTACTGTAATAAGGTAGCAAAAAACAAACAAATAACAGTATGTATACACAAATAACCCACACATAAAAGAGAGAAGCTTTTTTGTTATTTAACAGTATGTATACTACAATTAGTACAATTTACAATGTTACAACAGTACAATTTTAAGTATGCATTAATGTTTTAAGATGATCTAGCGGTCCTAAATTTCGGGGGATTTTTTTGAGTTGTTCAAACTTTATTTTATATTATTTTATACCTTTATTTCTACAAGTACATGTACAAGGTATACAGGCCTAACTGACATCAATGACTTACTATTATATAGAAAGCCACTTGTTATGCAGAGCATTTTGGGCAAATTAGGTCAATTTTGTCCTGGGATGCGACGCACACCAGCCGACTAACACCCAGGTACCCATTTTACTGATGGGTGAACATAGACAACCGGTGTAAGGAAAGACGCCCAATATTTCAACCCTCGCTGGGAATTGCACCTGGACCTTCGCTGCATGAAGCGAGAGCTTTTACCGCCTGGCCACAGGTCACTGGTTGAATGATTTAGAATAGTGTCAGTATGATGAGATGATTTTTAAGTATAACCTTAAATTGATTGGCAGGCAGGGGACCTTTTGCTGGTTTAGGCAATGAAATCCAGATTTAGGACCCTTTATGTGTACTGTATTTTTGCATAGGGTGAGATGGACACTGAGGGATGTCGAAGAACTGTTCAGCTGCAGAAAAAATCACACTTCTCCTGACCAATCAGTGACTTGGGAATGTCAGCAATATGGCTGGTATTCATAGGGAGTCAGAACCAATTATACTTTGTATTTGTAGCTTCTACAAGCTTGAGAGCAATAAATATACAAACAATTCACTTTGTAAGGTGGAAGCTAAGTTATTAATTCCGACTGTTTTGGATTATAACCTGGGGAATAAACTCATAGGACTCCAATGAAATGCTCAACTTTCTTGTGCTTTCCTGTGTGAATAAAATCTAATATGAATTTTGAATTAGTTATACCAGTATTATTTAACTATAAAGACAACATATACTGGTATATAATATATATGAGTACGTGTACTAAGTAAAGTTTTCTTGCTTCAGTAATCTGATACCCCACATTCAATTCAGCCCAAGCAGAAATGCCTTGTAAATAAAAGGCCCAAAAATCTGGAACTCGTGGAACCTATACCACGAACCACCCAATGAACACTTATAAAAATATTGTTAATGTAACCATCTATAAATTTAGCCTGCATAGAATTTACTCTAAAAAATAGAAATTGGACAAGCTTTTCCCCAGAAGTTATTATTTCATTCATGGGGAGTTCTAAACTCGTAGGGGTCAATCTGTGTGAAAGAAATAGATGCATTTAGGCTCGATCCAAGGAAGGGAAGAACACGTTGAATACCTTGGATCAAGAAAACTCCTTAGCGAGGAAAAGAAAAGTATATAAAAGTCACCCCCAATTAATTTGCCTCCAAAAGGCAAGTGAAACAACCTACCCTCTCCACAAAAAAAAAAAAATCTGGAAAATTCTCTATAAACAATCCTGGAAGAACGAGATAATACCAGGGATGATGCTCGACCTCATTGTTTGCAGCAATGTTGTTATGAAAGTTTTAAGGGCTCTTACAGTTCACAGAAAAAAGCTTCACCTCCCGGTTTAGGATAAGATTTTAATGAAATTTGCTAACATAACATAAAATGGTATTTAGGGCATACACATGTTATGGGAACATAAAAAGTACATTATGTAGCTTTAACTTAGGATAATCCAATGAATTCAGTGTACCTTATTTCCTTGGGGGGTCCCTATATTTCCACTAGAAACCCCAATGGTAGGAAATACTAAAGGGACATGGCCACATGCAATGACTTACCACTGTTTTATAGAAGGCGTTTCGGTTTTGGAAATGACCACTTGAAGATCCCTGGCTCGAAACATATTAGTAAGTTTATTTAGGTACAGGTACACATAAGAACAATTACCATGTCTAGTAACATATATGCAAATTGCCTAGGATGTGAAAATTTGTCTGGACTGCCTCCAAGTGAGTCGCCTACCCTGGCAAGGTCTGTTGACACCGAGCTCCGAGGTCGGTACCCTCAGCCCCACAAGTGGCTTATAGGACAGATTTTCATAAATGACTGATGTTGCAAGAAACCTCGCCTGCATGCATGTTTAAAGGACTAACTTACTTGGAGTTGCAGCATATTACCTGGAGTTTACCTGGAGAGAGTTCCGGGGGTCAACGCCCCCGCGGCCCGGTCTGTGACCAGGCCTCCTGGTGGATCAGAGCATGATCAACCAGGCTGTTGCTGCTGGCTGCACGCAAACCAACGTACGAGCCACAGCCCGGCTGATCAGGAACTGACTTTAGGTGCTTGTCCAGTACCAGCTTGAAGACTGCCAGGGGTCTGTTGGTAATCCCCCTTATGTGTGCTGGGAGGCAGTTGAACAGTCTCAGGCCCCTGGCACTTATTGTATGGTCTCTTAACGTGCTAGTGACACCCCTGCTTTTCATTGGGGGGATGGTGCATCGTCTGCCAAGTCTTTTGCTTTCGTAGTGAGTGATTTTCGTGTGCAAGTTCGGTACTATTCCCTCTAGGATTTTCCAGGTGTATATAATCATGTATCTCTCCCTCCTGCGTTCCAGGGAATACAGGTTTAGGAACCTCAAGCGCTCCCAATAATTGAGGTGTTTTTTTCTCCGTTATGCGCGCCGTGAAAGTTCTCTGTACATTTTCTAGGTCGGCAATTTCACCTGCCTTGAAAGGTGCTGTTAGTGTGCAGCAATATTCCAGCCTAGATAGGACAAGTGACCTCAAGAGTGTCATCATTCAAATTCAAATTCAAATTCAAAGTTTATTCTCTATAAGGAATACAATGCGATTTACAGAATTTGGTTATTGTTTGTCTACATTAGTAAAATTGTGTTACTGAGTGACCACTAGCACGCTTAGCCATTGCTAGGCGATTCGGCATACTAAGTTTATTCTTAAATTGTAAAAATTTACAAATTATGAGGTAAGTCTGGTATTTATGGATAAGTGACTAAGTACTAGTTTGTGAGTTTAGCAATGTGAAAGCCTTTTTGTTTTGCACAGTACATAGTTTCAGTATTGGAGTAATCACAGATTCATTATTTAAAAGACTGTAGATAAATTATTTCTGTTTATGGTCAAATAGTGAGTGAGTGTAAGTGTGAACACCAGGTGTATTCCGTGGTAGTTAGTTGACGGGGTGTATCAGGAGATAAGATGTTTTCTAATGGTAGTTATTGAAGTTGATGAATGTGTCTGCAGTTCTAAGAGTTCTCAGTAGGTATGCCAGATGTTAGGGCCTTTGACATACATTGGAATTTTTTGTAACGTTTAGTCGGACACGGGAATGTTCGAAGAGATGTTTGTGTCTGGTGTGATGCCTGTGGTTCTGCTGTTCACCAACTATCCAAGAAAGCGTTTTAGGTCAGGTTGATATTAGATTTTAAGGCCCTGTAGATATATATTGCACAGTAGTAAGTGTGGATAGTACTGAACTGGAGTAAGTTTAGATCTATGACTAAGTTGGGGGGGGGGGTGTTGCCAGGGATGGGATTTAGTGATTAATCTTACTGCAGCTTTTTGTTGGGTTATTATTTGGCTTAGTGTGTGTTTGCTGCAGTTTGATCCCCAAGCACAAAGATACATAGGTGAGGTAAGGATAAATAAGTGAGTGGTATGTGTCCAGGAGATGGGCATTTTGCGCGGCACGTAGTAACGTATCTTGGAAGAGGATCCCAACCGATTTTTAGGATACTTTTTTGTGATATATGCTGGATATGGTGCTGAAATTCAGGTTGTTGTCAAGGTATAAGCCTAGGAAACTTTCCGCGCATTATTTCTGGTACTTAGAGTGTGTCAAATCTTAATCTTAAATTGTGCATCTCCTGCTCTGCTTACCAAACATAATAGCGTTTTGTCAGTGTTAAGCTTAAGTTATAGGCTGTCATCCAGAGTCGATATTTTAAATCAGCTCCTCATTCACATGGTGTTGAGGGAGGCAGATTCGGGTGAGAGATGACATAAGTCGTGTCAACAGCAAAGAGAATGGGTTTATCAGGTGTTGGGATACGATGGAGAAGGTCATTGATGTATATGAGAAGAGCAAGGATCAAGGCTTGGCCTCCTCAGTTTGAAGGTTCTCATTATCCTCCTGCATTTTCTAGCAATGCGATTGCTACAATGTTCTGGTCCTTGAAGGTGAGATCAACACAAAATGGTATACAATACCGAGACAGGTTGTTAGGTAAGACACAAATTGCAACAGTTAGACAACTTTTATTCCTAAACTTATTTCGCCCTACATAGTAGCTTATCAGTCGAAATACAGAAAATAGGCAGGAACATAGAGCTTGAAGCGATGGATCAGTCCCAGTCACCTTGTAGTCGTAGAATTTGAGGTTGTCAGTCCCTCGGCCTGGAGAAGTACCATTTTCCATAGTCAGGAACTATCTAAGATCAAGCGAACAGTGCGGATACATAATACTGTCGGAAGAGAGTTGCATAGTTAAGTAGTAGAAGTAGTGAGCATTTAACACTGAAAGGTCCATGTCCTCTCTCAGATCCCTCACTTCTCACATGAAAAGCTTGTCCAAGGTGTTTTCTGTACAAGAGCCATGTGTTGAGCAGTGTCCTGACAAGATGAACCCAAAAACAACAAAAAGGTAGACAAACGACAGTTGTTGGTAAGACACATATGGCAACAGTTAGAACAACTTTATCCAGGAACGTTTTCGCCTACACAGTAAGCTTCTTCATCGAATACAGAAAAAGCAGGAACAGTAGAGATGTGAAACATGTGAATCAGTCCATTACCCCATGTAGTCGTAGAAATTTGAGGTTGTCAGTCCCTCGGCCTGCGAGAAGTTCAGTTCCATAGTCAGGAACTATCTGAATATCAAGCGACAGTGCGAGCTTAAATACAGTCGAAGGAGAGGTGGCCATCAGTAGTATTAGTGTAGTAAGTAGTAGTGTAGTAGTAAGTAGTAGTAGTCGCTTTGATCTTCAGATAGTTCCAGACTATGGAACTGAAACTTCTCCAGGCCGAGGGGACGACAACCTCAAATTCTACGACTACAAGGGGGAAGGACTGATCACATCGACCATCCACTCTCATACAGTTCCTGTCCTATTTTCATGTATTCGACTGAAGAAGCCTATCTGTGTAGGCGAAACGTTTCGGAATAAAGTTTGTCTAACTGTTGCATATGTGTCTTATACCTAACAACTGTCGGTATTGTATACCATTTTGATGTTCCATCTTTCAGACACTGCAACACAAAGCGGCATCTTGGTACAGAAACCACCTTGGACAACTTTCAAGTGAGAAGTGTTGGTCTGAAGGGACATGACCTTTCAGTGGTTACATACTCACTACTACTACTACTACAATGCACCTCTCCTTCCGACAGATATTTAAGTCTCCGCACTGTCGCTTGAATCTTCAGATAGTTCCTGACTAAGGAACTGAACTTCTTCCAGGCGAGGACTGACAACCTCAAATTCTACGACTACATGGTGTGGACTGATCACATCGTCTTCACATCTCACTTTCCTGCCTATTTTCTGTATTCGACTGCAGAACCTACAGTGTAGGACGAACGTTTCGGAATAAAGTTAGTCTAACAGTTGCATATGTGTCTTTACCTACCAAGTGAGATCCTCCGACAATGATCACTCCAGGTCTTTGACGTTGTGTTTCGCTCCTATTTTGTGGCCAGAATTTGATTTTGTACTCTGATGAAGATTAAATTTCCTCATTGTTTACCATATCTGATAATTGAAAATTACTCATCGTTGACTCATATTGTGTTCTGCAGCCCCCTGAAAAGATTTGGT